CTTTCATAATCCCGAAATCTTTAAACTTTTCTCGTTAATCCGGTCAATCTCTGGGCCCGCCGTGCCGCTCGAACTTCTATAAAGGAATTACTTCGTTCCCGAGCCGGGAAATAGGTTTTTAAGCGATGAAGTGCACTTTATTTGTACTGACGAAGCGAGAAAAGGAACTGAAGGGAAAAGAAATAAAAGAAAGAAGAGAAAAAGTGGCGGACTCTTCAACTCTGACACACCCGGTTCAAATGTCCTTTTATTCGAACGAAATTTTCCACGAAACTTTCCCGCGGTTCTGTCAGCATTCACGCTGCCACACGGAACTGAAATTTCCCGTTGAAAAAGCGTATTTCATTTCGTTCCTGAAAGAGAGAGAGAGAGAGAGAGAGAGAGGGAGGCACTTTAAGAAGAGTCGAACGAATAATTTTCGGCTGTAACCGGAAAAAGGTCGTAAATTCTTCATTGCTCGCTGAGTTAACGTAGGAAGTACGAGCTACTGTGCAACGCAACCAAGATTTCAATGAGATGATTCGCTGGAACTTTTTTAATAAAGCACGCTTTATGAAGCGTCCCGATGCACCGTTAACGGCATTGTACACGGAACGCCTTTTAGAACTGTTTAAAGGGCCATTGGACGAGAACTTGCGACTCTCCAGGCTGTTTTATGTATTTTATCCACAATTCAAACTAATGTGTATACCTTAAGGACGATAGACTAACATATGCGTTCTACAAATAAACTCGCATATTTTTTAGCAATAAAAATAATTAACCTTTCTATGAACTCACGAACACGTGTACAATAAGATAAATAAAACAATTTGTTTTGTTATACAGTGCAGCTTAACGAAAGTGTAATTTATCAATCTTACAAAAATCTAACTCCTTACCACTTTTACTCCAATTTTACCTTTAATCATTTCTAAAAAGATTCCCAACATTTATCTCCTCCTTTCCTCCTCCATCACTTTCCCAATTTTAATTCCTTCACCTATTAAAATTCTTATTTTATCGAAGTAACGTGATTTTCTCTTAATTCCAGGCATGAGACCAAAGGTGAAGAATCACTACAGAGCCCATCAACTGTCCGTCTGGCTTCGTCTCGTTCCTGAGCTTCATCGTGCTGGAATGGAGGACGTGGACTCAAGGCACAATCTGTTTCGTGGCCATTCCGATCCCAGCTTGTACGACGGATCGGTGCGTCCAGATCCGTTGAACAGGATCAGCGAGGAGTTCAAAAGGAAGAATATCACCACCGAGCCACCGACTACCACCGACTATAACGCCGCCACTTGTGTCAGCTACATCCAAAGCACGAACCTGCAGAACGTCCATAACGCAAGCACCGACACCCTGGCCAGCCTGGACGCAGCTGGGTACGTAATAAGCAATCTCAGTAGACGTAATGAAGGCATTAATAAAGGAACTTGGCTGGTGCTTCGAGTCTTTGCACACTGACATGACGTCTGTACATTTGCTAATTATCCAACTGGATTTGTCCAAGTGCAAGAAAAGGTTAATCTGTTTTTAATATTTTTTTTTTCTTTCCTTTGAAGTTACGAATTAATTGGAGAAGTGTTTTTGTATCTACCAACGATGCTTGTCAGGTTTACGGGAATATTATAAAGATTAAAACCTCTTTTCCTAGAAGCTTTTCTTGATAAATTAGATTTGTTCGGAGGTTTTGATAGAGAATTTCATAATTTTCGTCAGGATTTTCTTACGTTTCAATCTTGCTTCTTGGAATATTTTTGACAACTTCAAGTGTGTTGGAGAAGTATATAATGGGAATACGAGAACGATTTTAATTCCTTGTCTCAGAATTTTCTCACAGCTATCTACTGTCTTATGTTTGGAATATTAGAAATATTTTAATTTTTTATTTTAGACCACCTTTTATACCTTCGAGCGTCTAGAAAAAGCACTGGCACAGCTAAATTTACTGGAACACGAAAGAGCAATTTTTATGCCCTATTTTACGAATTTTTGTCTAGCTACAAGGTGTCTGATAATTAAGCTAGTACCGATCTATCGATCTTCCAATTGTAAAATAAATAATTGTATCTTCTATATAGATACGCCGCGTATTCGACGGCTCTAAGCGTGACGATCGCGATCGGCTGTAGCCTGTTGATCCTGAACGTGCTGATCTTCGCCGGGGTGTACTATCAGAGGGACAAGACGAGGCTCGAGGTGAAGAGCCTTCAGCAGCAACAAATGTTGAATCAACAGTGCGGACCACGGGGTTTCTCCGAGCTCAAACAACCGCCTCCTCCGCACTCTCATTTCCCTGGGAGCGGGCAGGTCATCGTCGACGTCGAGAACGAGATGCTCAGAAGGTAGCAATCTTTTCAAAGCCTTGTAAAATCGATAATATTCACTTCTGATCGTTATAACATTCCCAGAACTATTCCGAATATTACATTTCTATGGAAAATCAAATGTAAAGTAGTACAATACCAAATAAACGAATATTCAGTGGAACAGGACAATGAAAAGGTGGTCAGAAATCCTCAATTTCTTTCCTTTTCTTTTTTTTCCTACAATCCTAAAGTATTCCTAAAATCCTACTCGTTCACTATAGCTCCATCGTCAGTTATTTCATCGTTATTTTACTTTGTAAATAAATTGTTTCACGTTCATCTGCATAACCATACATCGATGACCACCTTTTCCCACATTACAAGCCTATTGCATGATTCTCGATTATGTCGATTTTAACCGAGAGCAACAATTACGCATTAATTCGTAATAAAATTGTTACGAGACACGTAACGATCGCTCGTCATCGTTCCAGGAACGTTTTGAAAGGCACTTCGAACGATCCCAACACGCTTCTCCAACAGGGCCAGGGAACTCACACGTTGCCTCATCAACACCATTATCAAAAGCAACATCAGCAACAGCATGCCACTCTTCCCCGAGCTTCCGTCATACAGGACATGAACGCACAAACCCAAGTGAGAGTCTGTCATTTTAATTCGTTTGCCACCTTTCATGTCCTTTCAGATTCGAAAAACGATG